AGGAGGAGAAGGAAGAGGAGGAGGAGGAAAAGGAGGAGAAGAAGGAGGAGGAGGAGAAGGAGGAGGAGACGGAGGAGGAAGAAGAGGAGGAGGAAGAGGAGGAGGAGGAAGCAGAGGAGGAGAAAGAGGAGGAGGAGAAGACGGAGGAGAAGGAGGAGGAGACAGAGGAGGAAGAGGAGGATGGAGTGTGGTGCTTATGCGCCATGAGAAAGCACTCGGCCGCAAGGAAGAACGGCATCCTGACGCACACACGCAGCGAAACGCACAGAGCTGAAAGCCTGGAGTTGGGTGAAATGCGTCAGACACCGCAGGACTAGCACCACCACCCTCTCACGCATGGGAGTTAAAAAGGCCAGCAAGTGGGGATTACCGCAATCCCAACTATGTGGAAGGCTAAGGCAGAGGTTATAAGCTTGAGACCAGCCTGAGCAACACAGTAAGACCTCATCTAAAAGAAAAAAAAAAAAAATGCTCATCTCAATGTAGAACAGTAATTACTAAAAGTTGTCAAGGATGGTGTGGATCAAATAAGACTGGGTTGATCTGTGACCACCCTAAGCATATATTAAAATATCACCATGAATCCCATTAATTTGTAAAATTAGTACATGTTACTAAAACATGTAAGCCAGACCTATAATCCCAACTCTGGGAGGCTGAGGCTGCAAGAGGGAACATTTCAGGCAAGTGAGACCCTGCTTCAAAATAAAAATGTGAAAGGGTTAGACATAGTCCCACATGCCTATTGTAATCCCAGCACTCAGGAGGCGAGGCCGGCAGACCTCTGTGAGTTTGAGGCAGGCTGGGCTATGCAGTAAGTTCAAATAGGATTCTGTTGAAAGAAAGGAAAGGAAGGAAGGAAGGAAGGAAGGAAGGAAGGAAGGAAGGAAGGAAGGAGAAAAAGAAAGAAAGAGAGAGAGAAAAAAAAGGGAGGGGGAGAGGGAGAGAGGAGAGGGACAGGAGAGAGAATGGCTCATTGCTCATTGCGGCCTTGGACTCAATTCCCGATATTTATGTGGCAGAAGAGCTAGGAGGAAGAGTTGGAAGCAGAACAAAAGCTCACAGCTGTTTTTGTACCACAACATTTAGTAGATGTTGTACTTTAAAAGGTTAAAAAAAAAAAAAAAGCCCCGCCACTTGTGCAGCCTCCGCTTGGCACCGAAGGACCCTACCAAGGAGCCTGCTTGTTTGGCACCTGATTTACTTCCTAAATAAAAGCAGTGTCCACCAAAAAAAAAAAAAAAGTTAAAAAAGGAACATGGCTTTACTGCAAGACTATGCGTGTGGAATTTCTTCAAGAAACAAAAAGCAAGCTGTTGACAGACAATTTGGCAGAAAGGCACAAAGACCCTGCCTGGCAATGAACGTCAGACTCCGTTCCCATCCAAGATGTCCAGCCGCTTGGAAGGGGCCAGCAGGCGCCCCCGGAATCCCGCGTGGGACTGCCGCTTACTCACGTGGTGGCAGCGAGGTAAAGGGCCAGGCAGCGGTAGCTCTCCTGTCCCAGACGCAGCATGACAAATGACGCTGCTCCCTCTAGGTAGAAGGAAATTAAGATGACCTTATAGTAACCAAATTTCTTCAGCCAGGGCCAGATGATGAGTACGAGGCCCTGAAACGCGAGCAGACAGACACGCCGGTAAGAAGGGATCCCGCATGCTACGCTGCCTTCTCCCTGCATGGCAAGTGTGCGCATCACAAAATAAAACTGCTCTGAGCGACAGTATCAACTGGAACACGCAACCGCCAACATCCCGACTAAAGATGCTGTTATCCATATGCAGCCAAAAATTGACTACGAAAATTAATATTCTATAAGTAATAAACTGCTATTCTTTTCAGTATAACAAATAAACCATGAAATGGTTTCTCCTTATTTTTTTATTTCACACTTAGAGATTTTACTAAAACTGGACATAGGAAAAAGATCAGTCACTTAGAACAGCCATTGCATCATGGTGAAGCGAAAGTTTCAATTAAAAAAAGAAAACTGGGCCAGGATTTAGCTCAGCAGCACAGTGCCTGCCCAGCAAGTGCAGGGTCCTGAGGCTGGGCACCAAAAAGAAAAAAAAAAAAAAAGGCTTTAAAGACTCAAACTAAAAAAATTCAAATTTAAAGCCCAGAATTCACCTAGCACATAGTAGGTGAAACAAATATTTATTGAATGAATAAAAATCTCAATCTTCTCACTGTGCTATAAATCTGAAATGTACTTTTTACCTAAAACCGAAAGTAAAGAGATTGCAATTCGATCTACTTTTCTTCTGGTTGTACATTCTGCCTAACCTTACATATTTTCATAATTCTAATAGCTCAGGTTTAGGCCTTTTCCTCCATTTCTTGCTGCCAATGAAAAAGTTCATTGCTCCGCACCGAAAGACTTGTGCTAAATATATGTATGTGCATTAACAAAAATCAGAAAATACTCGTTTTCAATTTTAAAAAGCACGTTGTTTAGCCTGAAAAGTCTTCAGTAACCAAATGTATGTACATTGCAATTAGAAAAGAAATTTTAATAATAGAAGTCCAACACATATGTGCATTGAGAAACAAGATTTTTTTGCCCTTGACATGTTCTGGCTTATGTGTCCATTTCGAGGAACAAGAGCTCATTTTCTGGATATCAGGAACAAGGCTATGTGATGGCTGCAGTTCAAGGCATTTGCTAAGACTTTTATGACAAAAAATACACGAAACAGCCCAACAAGTCCAGCTATGTTCTTGCGATCCGGTCATAAAGCAGCGCATCTCCACATGTCCAAACGAAGCTGCTGCTTCTCGCATCTAATATGTAAATACGCAAAATCCAGGAAGCTGGCCGGTGCAGGCAAGCGCGGGAGGCGGGAGGGGAAGGAAGGCTTCCGACCTCGGGTGCCCGAGGCCAGACTTCGCCCGCCCCTTCCAACCAGCTCCGCGGGACAGGCTGCCGCGCAGGCCTCTGCTCTCCCCGCGCCTCGCTCAGCGCTCGCCGCAGGGTTCGCTCTGGCGGGGAGCTGCAGCCCTGCTCCCACCTCCACCTAGCCCCTGCCCAACCCAGTTACTCAGTCGCTGCGCCTTGATTTTCTTGCGTCCAGCACGCCAAAAGACGCGAGCCAGTGGCGAGCGCTGATACAAATTCACGGAAGAAAATTAGAAGTCTGCCTCTACTTTTACTGAAATAAAGTCCTCGCAAAGTAGGGCTCTGGCTCCTGGCTCCCGTGTGCATCTGCGCCCAGCGTGTCCCAGCGTGAGCGCGGGCAAGCCCACGCCAGAGCAGCGCGAATCACAGCAAAGAGGGGCGCGGCGCTGGGCCCTTAGCCTGAGAGCTGTCTGCAGCGTGGACTGCTGGACACACGCAGCGCTAGTGCGCCTCGTGTTGATTTGAGCCATTCTGAAAACACTGCAGGCCCTCACCCACGTAATCCTCACAGTAATCCCAGCAGGGAGGTCACATTTTCATTCTCATCTTACAGATAAAGATGCTGAGACACTAAGAACCTGAATGTCTGACCCAGGTCCACACTGCTAATCTCGGGGAGATTCCTGCCTCTCCGGGGAGGGCGAGACGTGGAAGAGTGACAGGCATTTGAACAGTGTTAGAGGAAAAGATGACGCACTTGTTCATTCTCTTCTCCTTCCACTGACCCAGCTCCTCAAAAGGAAGGCTACGAGGTCAGACCCAGAAAATGAGAATATGGTGCTTACCCCCAAGAGTTAGAGTACTAACGTGAATTTACCAAATAAGTGGCATTAATAGGTTTTAATGGGTTGCTACTTTTTGACATAAAAATTCAAGCAAATATTACTTTTCTAGAAATTAAGAATAAATTTAAGCCCAACCCAAGTAACTGAGTAACAAGATCCTTTCTCAAAAGTGAAAAGGGCTGGGGATGTAGCTCAGTGTGAATGCCCTGGGTATTATCAGCATCCCTAGTACCAGAGAGAGAGAGAGACAAACAGAGACACAAAGGCAGAGATAGAGAGACAGGAGACAGAGACAGAGAGGCAGAGACGGAGAGGCAGAGACAGAGACACAGAGCAGGAGAGAGACAGAGACAGAGAGGCAGAGACGGAGAGGCAGAG